TATATATACACATATATATGACATGAACAGCGAAAAGTTTAAAGACAGAGACGAGTTATATACAAAACTATGTGCATGTTTAGTGTGGAGTTTTCGTGTCCTGTGTCCAATACCATCATGGCTGTTCTGATTGACCCTGCTTGTCCTCCCCTCCCAGTGTGGTGTCCAGTGATTGGGCAACAGTTATGTCCTTGTTAAAGAACAACAGTAACTCAGTTGGTGAACATTCATTATAGACTTTAAAACCACACAGACGCTGACAGAAGTTGCCAATCACAGATAACCCTTTTTCCTATCTACCACTGATATAATTAAACTGTACTAACAAACTGTGTCATGTTTTGCTGGATAGTAAAAATGCCTAGAGGTGAAAATATATATACACCACCAATTCTACTCTTTGATATTATGTGGTTTTACTTGGTCTCTATAGTGGTTTTGCACAGGTGTCAGTTGTCTTAAAGTTAACTTTTTTTTTTATTCACTTGTTTAGCTAAGCTAGTTTGCACTTGTCATCAAAAGTGGGGCGAAATTTCTATAAGTTTGCTGAGATATTTTTGTGAAAGTGTGTTGCGAGTTAAAATGGGGTGTTTATGAATTATTGTTGTTGCAGCTGCTTCCATGTTGCTCTTAGAAGACCTAAAACATTTTATCACTTGTAAATTGTGTTTCAGGATGCAGTGTTAGTTTACATTCCAGTAAAAGCCTCATAGCAGTAAACTGCTCCTATTAGCGGTGCAGTATAGGAAGCCAAACAGAGGAGCCTCAACATTGAAGCATGGCTTTTAGAAAGCAAGCTCTCCTGAGCCACTTCACTGTTTGAGTTCTTACACTTTAAAATTATGCTGAGATATGCTAAATGTCAACCAACCTTACCTCCCTTCAGTGTGCAGCAGGCACATTGCCACCCTCTGTGATTTAACACCCTCTTGTCTCTGGTCAGGTTTGACTACTGCAGGTTCATAGAGTTAGACTACGTGCCCATGGAGTCAAGCTGTATGGTGTCAATGCGCCCAACTAAAGGCTATGTATCGACCAAGTCACCGACCAAGGGATACACTTCCACCAAGTCTCCGGATCGCCACGGTCGTTCAACAAACTCTCCCTCTACCCCTCGCTCCCGGTCTGTCCCGACTCGCTCTTTTTTCCTCCCGATCAGTCTTGATCCTTTAAAGCATGGGAATGGCAAGATGTTTTGCACTGCTGTAAATGTTTTGTGACGCCACATTCTAGAAAACATCCTGTCTAGTCTGACTCTCTTCTTCTTTTCTGTCCGATTGCTCTCTTTTAGTTCCCTTCTGGTGAAAACTTTCTTTTTTCATTGAGTAACGCTAATTTGATGTCCTTTTCGGTTTCAGCATTGTTGTGAGTGCCAAGAGGAGTGTGTGTATTTGTTTCTCAGGCCGACATGCTGAAATATTGTACTCTGTGTATCAGTGTAAACCTGTGTTGTATAAGCATGGTGGTGGACCTGGATTGAAGTGTTTTCCATTCATTTCTGTTTGCACTGTGGATCTGTTTGTCATGGTTTAGCTTAGCAGCTCACTTAGTGTCTGGACTGTGGTTCCATGGTGTTGCCAGGAACACATTAACATGTCTCCTCTTACTGTGTACCAGGCGCACTCCGGCTGCGGCCAGTAATAGAGATCCCTATGGAAACGCTTCTCTCAGCAGCAGCAACTCAGGCTCATGTAAAGGCAGTGAATGCAGCCCAACCAAAGGGTAAGAGGTGTAGCACATTTCTACTAGCTCTTGTACCAGCGTAGTCCCAATGCTAGAGCTAAATATGTTTGCAATGCGGGCCACCGATTCTGATTCTTCCTACTAATGTTTCCCCAAATTCCAACACTAACATTGCAAAATAATTACTTCTCTAACTTGTCAAATTGTGGGCTTGTTCTCTAACAGCAGTGCACCACAAACTCTGCCGCACTACTACATTGATGGACAAGAGGTATAACGTTAATGCCTTGGGATAGAAAATGGAACTCTTTGTGACTTTGTCAACTCAGTGAAAACAGAACTTAATATGATTTGTTGTCTTATTACCTCAATTAGCTATTTAATCAAAATCCGTCATTTAAAAAAATGAAGAGTTATGGCTGCCAATTCACATTTCTGGAATCATTTTTATTAACTATTTTCAGGATTTTAGCGATGATATGACACAAGAAAAAATTATTTACTCCAGTTCGCTTTCCAAAAGTATGAAAGAGCACATTTGCAGTCTCTTCTTTTTTCAGTTTATGCTCAATGGTTGAATATGTGAATGAAAATATGGTGAGTGCTGTTAAAAAGGAAAAAAGCCCACATTACTGATAAAACAGCAGCTCTGAGCCCCAACCTACTATTTTGAAGATAAGCAAAAAGTTATTTGTGATATCATCATCACCGATGACCTAGACCTCAGAAGGTTAAGAGTGTTTGAAACTCTTAATTCTTATAATAGTGATGTTAACTTCCCTTCCATCACTTCTTTCTTAACATCTCAAAAAATGGAAAACGCCACTTATTCTTTTCATAAACTGAAGTCCTGTCTTTTTTAGACGCCATCAGAAGTACACGTCATGTACAGACAACCATGGCATTCGGCCTCCTCCACCAGAGCAGTACCTCACACCCCTTCAGCAGAAGGAGGTGTGTATCCGACACCTGCGGGCCAAGCTAAAAGAAACCATCAACACCCTGCAAGACAGGTGAGATACTGAGACAGGATGAGAGACTGGCAGGTCCTATAAAGCAAGGTTTTATGCTAGTTCTTCTTAGATCTTTTATATTGGTCTGTGCTTCTTATCGTCAAAGGTTCTAACCCTTTCTCTGTTGTCACCCTCTTAGGGACACGGAAATAGATGAGTTGAGAGGCCGGCTTTACAGAATGCAGGAGGACTGGGTTGAAGAAGAGTGCCACCGCGTAGAGGCTCAGCTGGCCCTGAAGGAGGCCCGTCAGGAAATCCAGCAGCTCAAACAGGCTGTGGATACTGTTCGTGCCAGGCTGAGCGATGCCGGAGGCCTCAGTGGAGATGTAGGGGTCCAGAAGTACTTTCAGGATATCAACGCTCAGAACCACAAGCTGGAGAACCTTTTGCTGAGTATGGAGTTGGCCCAGGCTGGATTAGCAAAGGAGGCGGAGGCCATGCCAGGCTGTCGGACCCGCGTTGGGGGTTCAGCACCAGCATCTGTTTCAGGAGAAAGTCCTGGCGGAGTACCCAAACTTACTGTAGGAGGAAGAGGGTCTTGCTCTTGTGATGGCTCCCCAGCCCGGTCTTTAACTCGGAGTTCCACCTACACAAAGCTGAGTGATCAGGCACTGGCGGACCGCAATGACAACGGGTCGGACTTTCCTTGTCTCTCAGGCGACGGCACCCAGGACAGCGGCTTTGTGTGCTGTGGGGAGAGTAACATCCCCAGCCGGGCTGACCTTCTGCTGGAGGCCGCATTCCTTTCTGAGGAAACAGCATCTTTACTTAATTCCTACACGCAAACCTTCTCCCACTCTCTTCCCCATTCTCATCCCCACTCTCTGCCAAACTCACTGTCTCACACCTACTCACATACCTTACCTCATTCTTTCCCTCACAATTTGTCCCACTCTGTGCCGCATACTATGCCACACTCTTCTACGTATGAGAAGCTGTGCACAGGGGAGGGGCTGGCACCCTTTCGTTGTGGTCTGGGTGGAGTGAGCTGCATGAGCCACCCCTGCCTCTCCCACCACCATCTGTACCTGCACCCTTTAAGGGAGACTGGCATTCAGACAGAAAGCTGCCCCATCCCTACAACAGCAGGGTATCCCTCCGATCTGGACACCATCGCAGAGCAACGTACTTTCCGGTCCCAGGCCTGTAGCCCCACTTCAACCTGGATGTCTGATGAAGGGGACGAGGAGTTGGACTCCATTACCACCACAACTTCAGTAACCACAGCAACAGTCATGAGTACAGCAACAGAGCCAATCCCCAAAACTCCAGTGGTCCCATCTTTACCACGGTCCGCCACTGTTACGTGTTCCATGGAAAGTCCTGTGCATAAAGAGAAAGAGTATGGAGAGGAGGAGGAAAAGCAGGAGAAAGAGGAAAAAGAGAAGGAAGCTTTTGTGGCAGAAGAGCAGGTGGACATAGTTATGATCAAACTGGCAGAAGAAAGGCAACAGACGCTGATTGGTTCAGTGGGAGAGAAGATAGGAGGGCAGGGTGCTGAAGAGAAGCCGGCTCAAGGAAAACTCTGTGAGCTTGCTGAGATGCCAGCAACATGGCAGGGTGAGCTTAAGTTAAGAGGATGCTGTGGAGAAGGCAGGCAGGGTGGGACAACATTTGAAAACCTCGGAGTTGTGGACACGCAGCAAGAAAGCTGTCCTTTACAAGAATCAACCCAGGTAGAGACACCTCACCTGAGTCCGAGTCACCAGGGATCATCTCCAGCTATAGAACAGCCTCACACAATCCAGCCAAGAAGGTCTACTTCCCATGAGGAGATAGGTGGTGTTACAGTGGTGGAGGTGCACAATGAGGACAATGATAACGGTGAAACAAAAGAGCACGGTGCCACAGGGGACACTGCAGAAGAGAACGGAGAATCATCTAGCTCTGGGACGATTCAGAAAAGCTACTGGAGTCGTCACTTCCTAGTTGATCTGCTTGCGGTGGCCATTCCTGTGGTGCCAACGGTGGCGTGGCTCTGCCGCGGTCCAGTCCGGGAAGGACAGCCAATGTATCACATAGGATCACTGCTGAGAGGCTGTTGCACTGTGGCGTTGCACTCGCTGCGCAGGGGAGGCGGGCTGAGGCACTACCCCGCAGGCGGGGGAGACTTAGGAGGATCACAGATATAAGAGGAAAATCTGCTCAGCACCTCTGTGGCCCTTAACCACGACCCTTCCTGTATAGGTTTTCTCTTGGAAGATTCAAGTGCAAGAAGACAAGGACTTCCTGTCCTGCAGTTTCTGCCAAGAATAGGCAAGAGGGGTATAAGAAACAGGAAATGTGAAGCTCTTGGACTGACAAGCTCTGCCTTGTTTTGGTTCTGCTCCGCAATGTCTGTCACCCAATGTTCCTCAGCCTTGCTACCGAGATGTCTGCCAGCTCTACTGGCTTGTGGAAAAGTAAATGAGCTGATTGAAATGAATGATGCCTGAATCTTTGATGCTGATTGTTTCTTTTGATCTTAAATGCAGGGAAAACTGTAAAAGATTCATTGACTACTCAACCTATGAATTCTAACACATTTGACTGGTTGTGTGTGTATATGTGGCATATATGTATAAGAGCTTGTATACATGTGTAGCCAAGTTACAAAAAGCTACAGCTTCACCAAGTCATTAAGCAATGGCTGAGGGGAAAATCCACTCTAAATCAGAATTTACATGTTTCTACGACTGCAGACGGTTTTCATTGATCTTCAAGACTGAAATCTCAGAGTGTGTCTGCCATCATGACGTAGACACAAAACTCAGGGATGTTCCGAGGGTAGAAACACACAAACCTATTAAATTTGCTTCAAATCATAAACACCCAGCTGTGGCCAGTTCAGTTGTGCTGCCAAGTTAAACTCTACTTACTTTTAATCGTAGTAAGGTTTTAGTTCTCTCTCCTGGCCAAAGAAGCGTTTTGGTTGAGCTCAACTCCCCAAAGGAATGTTGTTCATCATTAAAATGACCTCTGCCAAAAATCCTATGTAGATGTTTATTAATCAAACACAGTAGGTTAATCTGAGGTGTGTATACATCAACTGCATAGAAGCTGATTTCTAATTTTCTTTCATGCATTTCATGCATTTAGCAGTTTGAGGCATCTAAAAACAAAAACCATGATGCCATCACACTTAGGATGAGACTGTTTTTAAGATAAGATAGATCTTTATTGTCACTGTTACAAGAACAATGAAAGACTGTTTGGCGTCTCTCCATTAGCAGCATGTAGATTTTTTAGATTAAAATTACTTTATAATAAAAGATAAGAGACAAATTTCCCACCTGTGGGACTAATAAAGGTTATCTTATCTTCTCTTATACACAGATACATGCATTGATTTAGGCCATAAAATTGCATATGTCGTCAATCATTCTCATCTACTTATAATATGCATAACCATCACTTGAAACAAAAAACAGGCTTTGTCCTTGTTGAATGAAGTCTTCATGCTGCGCCTCTTGTAGGCAGTTATTTAGTCTAACCTGCCAATTAACCTGATAAAAGCAAGTACCTTGTTTGATTTCTGCAATTTTTTTTCTAAAGACTGCTTAAAAATTTCCCTGTACTTGACGTTGACGTTAGAATGTGCACTTTAATTTCTCTTAACCTCTGCATCCCCAGGAGGCCAGCCAGAATCTCATTAATAATGAAGGAGATGTTACTTATTATAGAAAGTCCATGGGTGATTTACCTATTCTGCCATGTTCGTTGTGTTTCTACCCTGAGAGCATTACGATTAGTTCTCCTAAATAAATAAAGCTATTCAGATTTATTAAACTCAAACTAAGATCAATACCACACTTATATCTATACACTAAAAATGAAGCTCAGTTGAGAGCCAGCCTGAGTCTTTGCAAAGGTAAACTCAAAAATTAAAAAGCAAAGCTCTCTAAATAAAATCTTAGATTTGTTTCTGTAATCCATATGAGAGCTTTTGTTTTTGTTGTTTTCATTTTATGTATCTATTTATTTATTGGGGCAGTCTACTTGTTTGGGAAGGTAATAATAATAACATGCACATTATATTTTAGGGTGGAATATTTTCCATACTCAGTCATATTGTCTCATATGGGCCTTATCTGCTTAAGCTTGTATTCAAAGCAAAGTTGCCAGAACCAACATTTGGTGAAAATAACAGACCTCAGTTTGTGTTACTTAAAGTCACCTGATTAAATCTAATTGAAATGCCATATCACGATCAAACACTTTGTTTGTAGATCCTCACCGGCTCACTTTGGTATCTTAGTGTAGCTCTGAATGGAATGAGTTGTGCTCAGTCTGTGATCTGTGCTGTATATTTCTGCTAAACTTAATGCTCTTGTGGTGTAGTTTTAACTGTCATTCTGGTAGTATGTATTCCAAGTCAACTGTACAAGAGCTAGTCAGTCACCGCTAATAACTCCGCTTAACTTGTCTAACAGATCATTCTGAAAGGCATTTACAGACATCGTGTGCTACATCTCAGTCGACAGGTCAGATGTACATTAATAAGATGTCTGGGTTTTAAACGCACTTAGCATCAGGGTATTTTTTCATTTGTCTGAATGTGTGCATCACGAGAGGACTGTGATGAAAGATGAATGTGTAAATGAGCAAATAAGCAAATCATGGCTGGATAACTGAATGGGCCTGCTGGGCACAGATCTAACTGCTAAGACTGCTAGAACAAAACAAAAAGCTTCCAAGAAGTTGGAATGGGATCTGAAAGCTCACTAAAGAGCAATATGGCTGCAAGAGGGTGGAAAACAATTGCCAGTAGATAACAGACAAAAATGCTATGTAAAGGACTAATTCTTACATAACACTTACATACTCTCTCCCAGAGTACTCAAGGCACTCCATACAACATGCCAGATTCACCCAAGCACTGTCTTCTATGTTTTTAAGTGTTTTCTAACCACCATTCACACACTTTGATGCTGAGATGGGAGAGCAACTTGGGGTTATTATCTTGCCCAAGAATATTTGGCATGCAGACTAAGGGGAGCCAGGGATTAAACCACCAACCTTTACAATCAGTAGATGACCTGCTCTACCTCCTGACCTACAGCCACCTATCAGTCATATGTCAATAGACATATGACTGATAGGTGGCTGAGTTTAAAACAGAGTTTAAAACTATTCCAAAAAGAAACCAAGCAACTACAAAAATGACACAAAACAACTGCAAGAAACGTAAAACCAATGCAAGAGATGTCTAATGTCTACAAAAAGGTTCAAAATGAATTCAGAGAGACCTAAAGTGACTACAAAGTCATGTACAAGGAAATAAAACATAAATAACCCTACAAAGAGACAGAAAATGACAACAAATACTAAGGTCTGCAAGACAGTTGGATAAAAAAACAGAAAGCAACTACAAAGAAAGAGAAAGTCGCTGCAGTGATATAAAATGACCTCAAAGATGTATAAAACAAACAATTGTAGAGGTGCCTAAACTGTACAGAGATTAAAATGACTTCAAAGAGATTTCCTAAATGACTTTGAAGCAACAAAAACATGCAGAGAGAACACAACTGTAGAGATGTCTAATACTTAAAAGAGATGCAAAATCACTTCCAAGAGATTTGAAGTGGCTACAAAAATATGAAACAATGACTTCAAAGAGAGCTTAAGTAAATACAAATAGATGTGAAATTATATCTAAATGACTACAAAAAGATGTAAAAGGGCTGCAGGAAGAAGAAAAACAACTGCACAGACATAAAACCACAAAATGACACGGAGACACAACCACAAAGATGCTTAAAACAACTGCATACAACTACAAAGACACGCCAAAGAACTTCAAATACATGTGGAACAACCACAAAGAGAACCACAGTGACCAATAAAAGAAAAATCAACCACAGAGGGAAATCAAAGCAGCGCAAAATCACCAAGATGTTATTGCAGGGGTCAGCAACCTTTAACACCCAAAGAGCCATTTGGACCTGGTTTCCACGCAAAAGAAAACACTGGGAGCCGCAAATACTTTTTGACATCTAAAATGAAGATAACACTGTATATATAGTTTTTTACTTTTATGCTCTGTGTGAACAACTAAGGTGTGTTGCTTATGAAATCCATGAAGTGCTACAGAGAAAATTACATTTTATTTATGTAATTAACATATTTTGAACTCTTAAAGAAATATAACAAAAGGAAAGACACCCAGCTGAACTAAAATGATGCATGTAGCAAACAAAAACTGCTGTGAGCCGCCACCCTTATATCGCCTTTGAGCTTTTGGAGCCTTGGCCTGACTTTTAAAAAAATAATTGGAAAAAAAGCACTATGCTGCTAAAAACAGAAAAATAGATATTTGCAAAATTCTGCCTAAATATGTATTTTACCTGGTTAATGTGTGTTGCGGGGCGTGGTCTGCTGCGCCGCTGCAGGGGAGGCGCACGCACCTGAGCGGCACCCGCAATCACGCCTCGCCGCCTTAACGTCTGTGCCATCTGTGCTGTTGTGTTGGTATGTGTTGGGCTGTGAGCTGAAAAGCTACAGCCGGCTGTATGCGTACAGCAACCGTGGTGAAAAGTGGTCAATAAAGAGATGCTGAAAAGCCTGTTCATGGAAACATCGTCGGGTCTGCTGTGATATGTTTACAATGGGACTTCGGCTCCTGAACCTCTGCGCACAGCGTCTGCAAATCGGGGCTGTACGAAGTCACTTAATCTTTACGCAGGACTGTAAGCTGTCATCTGTGAGGTGTGAGCGGTGTTTGTTTTTAAACATAGTTCACGGTGGAGAACAGCTGCTGACATAATGTGGATCCGAAGATCCATAATTGGTCTATGGCAGGGGTGGGCAACTCCAGGCCTCGAGGGCCGGTCTCCCTGCAGGTTTTAGATGTGTCCTTGAACCAACACAGCTGATTTTAAATGGCTAAATTAGCTCCTCACCATGTCCTGAAGTTCTCCAGAGGCCTGGTAACGAACTAATCATGTGATTCAGGTGTGTTGACCCAAGGTGAGATCTAAAAGCTGCAGGACACTGGCCCTCGGAGCCTGGAATTGCCCACCCCTGGTCTATGGGTTGAAAGTCTGGATAAATGCACGGCGTTTCGGCGGGTATACCGGCTTCTGCGAGTGTGACGCTTATTTTGAGCGATGAAAAAATAATAGAATATAATTTTAATTTTATATTTCAATATCACAATAACCTTCCAATTTAGAACTACAAGTTAAAAACAAACTAACATAAATAAAATACACTTCAGCTAAATACTTTATTTTCCCAAACCACGCGGAGCCGCACTATAAGGACTAAAGAGCCGCAGGTTGCCGACCCCAGTGTTAGTGGAATGTAAAGTTACAAGCAGGTGCAAAACTACTATAAAGTGACACAAAACAATCATACAAAGTATCTACAAAATGTTTTGGTCTTCAGTGTAAACTCCTGTGCCCAGGGGGCGTGTTTGATAAATCCCTCCATGGAATAACTCTAAATCTGTCCGTCCCGATTTAAATGTCGAATGAAAAATGTTCCAACACAGCCAGCAAAAAAACAGCAACTCAAATTGTTCTGCGTTAAAAAAAGACTTTTGTTCTTTTTTCTATTCTATTCTTTTCACCAGTTGGTTTATATGTTTTGCACTATTGTTCACTTTATGAATTTTAAGCAATTACTTGAAGTTGAGATTGTAATTTAGCACTGGCAAGTTTGAGGTTAGCCCGAGAATTTCATGCTCTTCATAAAAAGTCATAACTTTTTCAACATAAGTTGAAAGTGAAAAGATGAGTGGACATCTGTTTCTCTAATGACAGATTCTGATGTACTGGTCCTCTTACCTTCAACTCCACTTTTTAGTCTGGTTACAGAACTAAGCATTGTGTTGAAGAGATAGCAATTGAAGTTGAACTCGGATTGGCAATACTTTCATGTAATACTAACTCGGTTATGATTATTGAACAATTTATTGTCATTTAGAATATTTCTGGTAAATCTAATATATGATTTTAAATTCCAACAAATGTGTGTTTCTTTAGGAAAGAAAGAAAGAAAGAAAGAAAGAAAGAAAGAAAGAAAGAAAGAAAGAAAGAAAGACGCAATTGTCAACCCAAATTTTTGAGCTGCACTGTGTGTGTGAGCTCACTGAGCATTTTCTGATTGTTCTGTTCTGCAGTGACAGTTTACAATGCAGCTGAAGCAAAAATTAGGCGTAAATAAGATACTACAGACATGCAGGTATGGCTTGTTCCTGTGGATGCTGTAAAGCAGTATTCTCTCATGTAATAAGAACTGTTTATTTAAGCCCTTCACATTTACATACATCTATGTATTAACATACATAGATGCCATAACATTTCTAAAAAGCTCTCATTTCAAAAACATAATTTTTTTTCTCATACTGTGTGATCCGATTATGTAATTGTCAGATGTCAGTGACAATCATGATAATCTGAATTAATGCATTGCTATCCATGAAAAGATCGAATGAATGCCTTACGGACACAATCACGAGGTTTTCTCAGCATCGTTTGCATTGTTATGATTTGTGCAAGAGCTGTGCGCCCATCATCCAGCTGCATTGTGGGAAAGGTTTGGCTAAAAATAATGAAGAGGCTAAAACAATTCCCTGTTTTACCAAAAGCCATAAATCTGTGAGGGAACTGGTGTGACAATGTGGAAAGCTACCTCCTCCTCTCAATATTAATGTATTATGTACCAAAATGTCTAATATAATAATCATGTAAGTGATTACTGATGTAAACCTGCACTGTACTTTGATGTGACAGTCCCGCTGTTAATTGCAGCTGACTTTTGGAAACAGGATGACAGAAGGACCAAAGGGTACATCTACCAAGCAGCAAATGAAAGGTGGCTGGTTTGATTCCAGGCAAACACAAATGTGCTTTGCGTCAGAAAGGTCACCTGGTGTAAAATATCTGGTGCCATATCATCTGGTGACCCCTTGTAACAAAGGAGCACTCAAAAGTAGCTCTTTAGCAAACAGCTAATTGTTAATGGTAGTAGCAACCATCTCAGCCGTCTTGGTTTAGCACCATTAGGTGGGCACATGTTTATTCTCAAGGCTCCTGTTCCTGAAATGTTTAATTGAAATACAATGTTAGATAATGAAGATTTGGCAAGCTGCTTTGATAATGACTTTTAGTCTCACATGCACAATTTGAATTAGATGTGGATATTTGATCTTCTTGTTTAATTACTTTAAAATAAAAAAAATGGAATGCAAGGTACCATTCTTGAGCATGATAAAATGTATTTTGTGCATTCGTCTTTTTTTTTTTTTTTGCAGCTATAGTAATATCTTCCAATGGTCACTTTTTAAAGATTATTTTGGGACTTTGGAGATTCCGTATTAGTAGCTTTAAGTCTATTGCATTAAAATATTCCTGTGGTGTATTTTTTACCATGTGGAACTTTAAAGCCAAGGAGAATGCCTACGCTGGTACTACAGGTGTGCTGAAAAATGTAGCTGTATCCGACTGTCCCAAGATACACCTGAACTTCCTGTTGTAGTGTGCTGTTATGTCAGTGTACAGTGCGTGGGGGTGACTGATTATATATACATGTCCCCTGTAGGCACATGTGATTTTAAATGCATATGAAAGGACTACGGAGGATGTTTGGCTTTCTTTTTTTTTTAAATCAGACAATATTTGAATGTGTACTGTCACTTTACGCTTTAGTCCTTGTCTGACTGTGTGTGTTCCCTAACCTATGTAATAGTAACTAATGTAACAGAGGTGGAGTCATTTAACATCCTTCCACTGAGGACATTCAATGCCTTGTGTAGGAATTTAGCTGACATCATAAATATTGCCAGATAATATCACGTAAATGAACTATTTTAATAGCAACAGTAGTGTGTACAGGTACAGACATCAGTAGGCTACATCTTCCACCACACTGTATAAAGAAAGAGCAAAAGCCCCTATATTAAAGAGCATGGAGGAAACCTCTGCTTTGCCTTTGTGTTTATTCCCACACCGGCTGATCTGAAGCAGCACGAGAAATGAAATGCTTTGAGACCGAACACGAATGTGAGCAGAAAGACTTTATTTGTTTACAACATTATCATGGTTACATTCGTATATAAACTTTTAGATTTTTCTAGCATTTGTTTTTACAGAATGACAGCGGTTGTTTTTTTTTAATCAGATTGCATACCTAGAAAATTAAAGGAATACATGCATCCGAACGTGAACAGCATTAAAAGGAGAAATTTTATATAACAAGTAGAAATTCACAACTGTGAGCTCTGCTGAGTCTTGCTGTGCTCATCAGTCAAGGAAGGAATTTTAAAGAGGATAGGCCTTTAACAAAAC